GATTGTCACCTCTTGCGAAAATTTCGGCCTCACCAAATTTTAATGTGTGGCCGGGTCTCGTCGAATGCACCGCAACTTGAGAATTGGCATCAATTCGCCAAACTGCTGCCGCGTGTTCGGCAATTTGCGTCTTGAGGAGTCTGCCAGTGCGGCAGCTACAAAAAACAAAGACGCAGGCTGCAAGAAAATTCAATCTACAGTATTGTGAATGCTGTAAGAAACTTTTATGACGATATTTATCTTGGTAGTTTAGCATGAATTTGCCCAGGTTATTTTAATCAACTTAGTGGATTTAATAATTCGAAAGGCTTTAGTTTGGAAAGCTACCCTCTTAATTAAAATAATGCAGGGAAGTAGGCACTAATTTTGGCTAAATAATGAGTGAGTTTACAATAAAGAAATTTGCCATGCTATAAGGTACGACACAACCAAATCTTTTATTAATGTACATTGTTCTATAGATGAATTCCAGAAATAGAAGAAATAATTTTAAAAAATGATTCTTTCCAGAACTGGAAAATAGTTGTGCGAAGTTGATCAAATGGAAGTGGAGCCAATTTTTAGGAGTCACATTTATTTCCAGAAGCAGGTGAGATTTATGTTTTACCAATTATATTTAGCCATCCTGTGAAGTATTTTTGCATAAAATGCAGTAGCAAAAAGTTTTGGTCGGAAATTTTGTTTTACCGTAGAGCTGTCCTTGCGCATAGGCAAAGTGTCGCATATATTACCGCGAATGTAATGTAAAGAAGGCCTTACTGAATGTAAGTCTTGTAGCAATATACTTTTTTGTAAAACATACGTTCTGCTTACCGCTCTTTAGAAAAGACACAGAAAGAAGAATAATTATTTGAAAAAAATGGCCATGTGTATGGCCAATTACTTTTGCATTCAAAAACTTACTACAGATCATGGAATTAATGCACTTTTGCGGCAAACAATCCATTATAAATGGAAAAGTAAGTTCTTTAGCACATATGTGTACACCGATCATATGCAGGGCACACCTGCCCTGGTATTAAATGCCTTTCAGCTGTCATGAAGGCAAAACATCGAGCCCGATAGCTCAGGGGTTAGGGCGTTCGACCCTGACCG